GGGTGACAGATTGAGAGCCTATCTCAAAAACAGAAAGAAAAAACTGATGACTGTTACCAGATCCTTCATACAACAGCCAGACATGAGTGCCTGTAAACTGTACTGTAGAATTAAACCTGCATTTTGTGTTATAACTTTCATCAATTTCACTGCCACTGTACTTCCAAGTACCGCAAGGAACTATTTATGAGTTAGAAACTTCCCCTTGGCCAGATGTGGTGGCTCATGCCTGTAATCCCAGCACTTCGGGAGGCCAAGGCAGGCAGATCACCAGAGGTCAGGAGTTTGAGACCAGCCTGGCAAACATGGCGAAACCCCATCTCTACTAAAAACACAAAAATTAGCCAGGCATGGTGGTATGCACCTGTAGTTCCAGCTACTTGGGGAGGCTGAGGCAGAATTGCTTGAACCGAGGAAGCAGAGGTTGCACTGAGCTGAGATGGTACCACTGCACTCCAGACTGGGTGACAGAGTGAGTCTCTGTCTCAAAAAGAAAGCATAACAGAAAAAAAAGAAACTCCCTACAGGCACTGCTATGCAGGATTTCTGGAAGCACAATAGTAAAGAGACTTGAGAATGTTATCTTCCTTCTTATTTCTTTGTATTCCTCCCACCTTCCTAGTAGGTGATAATGATAAATCTTTCCTCTGTGGCAGCTCTCTTTTCTCCTAGAAAATTAGGACATGGACGGCTGGGCGCAGTGGCTCACACCTGTAATCCCAGCACTTTGGGAGGCCGAGGTGGGTAGATCACGAGGTCAAGACATCAAGACCATCCTGGTGGTGAAACCCCGTCTCTACTAAAAATACAAAAAATTAGCTGGGCATGGTGGCGCGTGCCTGTAATCCCAGCTACTCAGGAGGGTGAGGCAGGAGAATTGCCTGAACCCAGGAGGCAGAGGTTGCGGTGAGCCAAGATCGCGCCATTGCACTCCAGCCTGGGTAACAAGAGCGAAACTGTCTCAAAAAAAAAAAAAAAAAGAAAAGAAAAGAAAAGGAAATTAGGATATGGAACAGGGCTTATAATGAAGAGTCCTAACCCCTGAAAGGAATTGTGGGCAAGACAGTTGCTGCCCTCAATGTCTAGTTCTGAGAATGCTCCCTCCAGAGCCTCTGTCTTCCTGTCTCTTTTTGGAAATACCGAGCAATGAGACTATTTAGAAGAAAGAACTTGAATAGACAGTAATTTTCTTAATAGAGTAACCTGCACACTGATTTTTTCCCCAGAAACTAGGAAGGAAGATCAGGGTTCTGACTCGTAATAAAAACTCTACCCTGATGGCCTAAGAATTTTTCTAACTTGCTTTGGAGAAGTCTGATCAAGACTGTGGAAGAAGTGACACTTTGTCATCTGGGTGCTGATCAGCAGGGGGCACTATTGTACCTCCCTGTGCCCTGACAAAGAAGCAGAAGACCTCATCGTAGGCAAACCAAAAGAGTGTTGAGAGCACCACTGCATTCCTGAGACTGGTAGATTTTAGCAGATTATCTCCTCTTGATCCAGGGAAACAGATGGACTGACTCCTGATAGCCTTTAGAGGCACAATGGATGGCCAGCAAGGGGCCCAGTGCTGTTGTTTTCCTAGTAACCAGCAATACAATATATCAACAGGTGTATATGTCCATTCTTATCCCTTCTCTCCCCATCCCTCCCACCACCTGTCCCTAAAAAATGGTGTTATGACTCTATGTCTTAACAATGGACTCTTCTTTCCCTTTGTTTCTCCCTAAACAGGGTCTGATTTCATCTCAAATTAAAATGACCTTAGATGTGGTTGCACAACAATGTGAATATACTACTACTGAATTAGACATTTAAAAATTGTTAAAATGGTAAGTTTTATGTATGTGTATTTTACCACAACTTAGGGAAAAAGTTTAGAAAAACTTAGGGAGGAAAAAAAAAAATATTTGAACTCGCCTTGCTATACCCTTGCCCTTTCTTTGTTCAAACAGTCCTAGCAAATCCTACACTTTTCAGAAAGGCTTCTTAGATAACCAGAACTGCCTGTGTAAACTCGTAGTTATTGACTCCCTCCTCCCTCTCTACCCCTTATATTTACATCAAGATAATATGCTCTGTTTACTTATTTATTAACCTCAAGGGCAGAAGCTGAGCTGTTAACTTCCTTTGTATTGGACAGAGTATACTCCCTCCAAAGATGCGTATATTATACTGCTGATGACTCTAACCTTTGCTGTCTGCTTTAAACCTTATTGCTCCTTATTCAGCACCTCTCCCGATTCCTATAAACACTGTACTTTCCTTCTTTGACCCTTTGAGGCAGGAGTCATCAAACTTTTAGGGTCTTTGTGGCCAGAGAGAAAAGTAAGCCAGTAGACAATATGTACATGAATGAGCATGACTGTGTTCTGATAAAACTTTATTTACAAAACCAGGCTGTTGCAAAATTTAACCCACAGGTGGTAAGTTTGCTGACTCTAGCTTTGAGGAAAGAAACCTTTCTTCTTGCTTGCTCCTGGCCACAACCTTCCTCTCCTGTTTCTTGTTCTTTTGCATATCTCTGAGGGTACTTTCTGACTTGGGAAAGCTAACAAAGGGGAGAGGGGTTGAGTGAGTACTTTTAACCCTCACTTTACATATTTAAGTGGGTTTTGGTGGATATAAATATGAAGAATCTTCTTTCAAATGAATATATTGAGTAGACCATACCTAGATGAGGGATGCTGTGTGTGTGTGTGTGTGTGTGTGTGTGTGCGTGTGTGTGTGTGTGTGTCTGTACATGTGTAAAACAGATTAAGACAGACAGAATTCATCCCCAGGAAATCCTTTTATATTCCTAATGATTTTGATATATTACATAGAGCCTCTAGGTCATTCTCCTTCTCATGATCTCACGTTAGACTTGTTTGTTCTTTTTCTTGCTCCTGGAAACACCTCCTCAAGTCCACATACTAGCTGTTTCAGCCTATGGACAGACCCAGATTGGTGCTACCCAACTTCTCACAAAACTGTTATTAACCTGACTTTGTACTAGTTTGTGAAAACTTCTATCTTCATGCCCATATGTTAGAAACAGAAAGATCCATCCAAATATACTAGGAACCTAGGCTACATAATACCAACAGGCCATCCACTTACCCAAAGCCCTGGGGGTAACCTGTGGATTTGTTAGGGTTTTTTTTTTTTTTTTTTTTTTTTTTTTTTTTTTTTTTTTTTTTTTTTTTTTTTTTTTTTTTTTTTTTTTTTTTTTTTTTTTTGCAGTTTTCTGCTGTTAGATTTCCTTTTGAAACCTAATAGCAGAGACACTAAATATGAGGATCCAAAAGCATTTATAAATGGTCCACTCTGTCTGTCCTTCTAGCTATTTTCCAAAACCAAATGTGATTTTATTTAATTAATTAATT